CGAGGTAAAATCCTTGGATGTTTGATGTTGTGACGACGGTGTTGTTTTAAAGGGAATAGGACACTAGCTTTCTACCAAATGTAAAATGTGTTAACTCAGCTCACCCTACATTTCGTGGTGAAAGATACCTTTGTGTAAATGGTTATAAGTTCATAGTGAAAAGAGGAAAAGGGAGAATGGATCTCGTGAAAATGCATGCAGAAAGACTGCATACAGATCAACACTCTCAACTGTCTTAACGACATAGTTTCTAAAATACCGAGAGACCACATCCACGGACCTGTGCATAACGAGGTCAAGGTAAATCTTTTCGGCTGTTGCAAAAATATTGACCATTTTTTCAAAAGGTAAAATCAAACTCAGTCTTGAATATATTGTGTATTCCTCATTGCCTAATGTAAAGACTACATATTAATACTATGGATAGTTCAATGTATAGTTTAAACATGTTTTCTTCAAGTAATCATGACGGGATTGGCAAACAAACATAAACATGCATGTCAATGCCGCTCCATAACAATAATACAATTACATAGATAGTGATGTACACTGTCTGCAAAACATAATGTGTGCAAATCATAATGGCAATCCACAAGGGCAATATTAAAAATATTGCATGCAACTTACTCTCTGGTGTCCTCCGATCAGTTAGACGTCCCAGACACGTCAAATCAACATAAGTTATGGTTGGTTGCACGCAGGTACACTGCACTGTTACCTTTAACAAAGTTATGTGCTTAAGAATATATTAAGCCATATAATTAATAGGGCTGTAATGATGCATCAAACTATCGATGAATTGCAATTATTCCGAAAGCAATTAATCGATGGTAGAAATGAAAAATTATCGATCCATCAATAGAATGTGTGACTATCGATAGCTTAGTGATGGTTATTTATTCTTATTAAATATTTGTGTTGTTTTGATTTTTTTTATTGTTAAGGTGCAAACCTGCAGCTTCATTGAGTTTATGTTTTAACTGTTTACTCCATCTTGGTTTCAAGTTTCTTGTCAGTTATTCATAGGGGGAGCAGAGGAAGCCCAACAGCCATTCGTATCCACCATTGTACCGCTGGGAGTAACTCAATTAGTTACATGGGAAATCTATAATCCTGTTTTGATCAAAGTGAACATTATGAACACAAACTGTGAGAAGCCGAAGTCAATTAATATTAGTATTCTGATCAAAGTATTTCTGCACAAAAAGTAACAAACTCATAATTAGTGTTAAAATATACCACTAACCACTAATATGAAAACATCTCGTTAGTCTATGGGACGGGTCTATTACGCCACTGGGTAAAACTAGGTTTGTAATCACAGTCACGCCTGATTGATCCAAAGTTGTCTGATAATTGGCGTGTCTGACAAATGGGATGTCTAACTTATGAGAGCAAAAGCATACATGGAATTTGAGACCCCCTTCTTCATCTCGGTTAAATGTGTGTTTAGCAATAATAAATCCTAAATAAAAAAAACCCAACTTGCTTATATATACAGGATGTACAGGAGGACTGCAACAGTCACAATGGATTGACATGAGAGTGACGATGAGAGCTATCGGGATAGGTTTGTATGTTGAGGTACACTATCTTCTTATAAGTTTTCATTACTATCAATGCATCCCACTAATATATGATAACATTCATGATAACAGCACTCCGTGTCCAGCTCGTTAAACGACACAATAAAAATACAATTAATATAATAGACTCACTCCCTTAAACCTCGGGCGAAGAATAGCCGTGACGGGCAGACAGGAATTACAAAATAATTGATCACAAAATATTAAAACGAAACGTGCGAACCTGGGTAGGTACACCTCGCAAGTGTGGGGTTGCCCACGATAGAAGTTATTCAACAATGAATACTATGACGACATACCGAGTGTCACGTAGAATAAAAACACAGTTTTGATGCTTTTTTTTCCTTTGTGAGGAGGTTTGACAAGGCCCTTCGCTCCCGAGTGGTGACGTGTGACGTCCTGGGCAGGAAGTGACAGTGTATTGACTTCTCTCCTTAATTACCCAGTTGGGGCTCCCTAATTGACCTTTATTTGTTCTGAAGCAGCATGGACTATTTATTTTATTTGGAAGTGGTTATTGGCAAATGTCAATAGGATTGACAAGACATATTTCAATGCAGTTACATTTTAAGCTCTCACAATACTGTTTATGTTCCAAAAATTACAAATTAACAGTAATATTTCATATTCAACAATTTCTTAATTTTGACTGTTCTGACGTGTATGTTTTGATATTATCTGTTCGTACACGCATACCATTGACGAGCCACATTTCATGGCATTACTTCTAATGTTTTAAGTGCCTAGTGACTACATATGATGAGGTAGGTGAGAGCTAAAGTAATAATTAATATGTTTATAATAAGGGATAAACCACCATACCCCAAAAACATGGAAAACATATATTTTGAGTAAAAGTAATTATTCTCGCCAATGGGCCAACCTATTTTTCGCCCATGGGCGAGATTTTTAATATCGTTCTAAGTTAGTCGAATTAAGTCAATATGAGTTGAATTTTGTTTCATGATACTTATAAACATACACTCATTCATTTACAACCTCCAAAACATGGAAAAACACATATTTTGAGTAAAAGTAAATATTCTCGCCCATGGGCCAACCTATTTTTCGCCCATGGGCGAGATTTTTTAATATCGTTCTAAGTTAGTCGAATTAAGTCAATATGAGTTGAATTTTGTTTCATGATACTTATAAACATACATTCATTCATTCATTTACAACTTCCAAAACATGGAAAATCATGTATTTTGAGTAAAAGTCAATATTCTCGCCCATGGGCCAAAATGTTTTCGCCCATGGGCGAGATTTTTTAATATCGCTCTAAATTAGTCGAATTAAGTCAAAATGAGTTGAAATTTGTGTCATGATGCTTACAAACATACACTCATTCATTTACAACCTCCAAAACATGGAAAAACACATATTTTGAGTAAAAGTAAATATTCTCGCCCATGGGCCAAACTATTTTTCGCCCATGGGCGAGATTTTTAATATCGTTCTAAGTTAGTCGAATTAAGTCAATATGAGTTGAATTTTGTTTCATGATACTTATAAACATACATTCATTCATTTTACAACTTCAAAACATGGAAAAACATATATTTTGAGTAAAAGTCAATATTCTCGCCCATGGGCCAAAATGTTTTTCGCCCATGGGCGAGATTTTTTAATATCGCTCTAAATTAGTCGAATTAAGTCAAAATGAGTTGAAATTTGTGTCATGATGCTTACAAACATACACTCATTCATTTACAACCTCCAAAACATGGAAAAACACATATTTTGAGTAAAAGTAAATATTCTCGCCCATGGGCCAACCTATTTTTCGCCCATGGGCGAGATTTTTTAATATCGTTCTAAGTTAGTCGAATTAAGTCAATATGAGTTGAATTTTGTTTCATGGTACTTATAAACATACACTCATTCATTTACAACCTCAAAACATGGAAAAACACATATTTTGAATAAAAGTCATTATTCTCGCCCATGGGCCAAACTGTTTTTCGCCCATGGGCGAGATTTTTTAATATCGCTCTAAGTTAGTCGAATTAAGTCAATATGAGTTGAATTTTGTTTCATGATACTTATAAACATACATTCATTCATTTACAACTTCAAAACATGGAAAAACATATATTTTGAGTAAAAGTCAATATTCTCGCCCATGGGCCAAAATGTTTTTCGCCCATGGGCGAGATTTTTAATATCGCTCTAAATTAGTCGAATTAAGTCAAAATGAGTTGAAATTTGTTTCATGATGCTTACAAACATACACTCATTCATTTTACAACCTCCAAAACATGGAAAAACACATATTTTGAGTAAAAGTAAATATTCTCGCCCATGGGCCAACCTATTTTCGCCCATGGGCGAGATTTTTAATATCGTTCTAAGTTAGTCGAATTAAGTCAATATGAGTTGAATTTTGTTTCATGATACTTATAAACATACACTCATTCATTTACAACCTCCAAAACATGGAAAAACACATATTTTGAATAAAAGTCATTATTCTCGCCCATGGGCCAAAATGTGTTTCGCCCATGGGCGAGATTTTTTAATATCGCTCTAAGTTAGTCGAATTAAGTCAATATGAGTTGAATTTTGTTTCATGATACTTATAAACATACATTCATTCATTTACAACTTCAAAACATGGAAAAACATATATTTTGAGTAAAGTCAATATTCTCGCCCATGGGCCAAAATATTTTTCGCCCATGGGCGAGATTTTTAATATCGCTCTAAATTAGTCGAATTAAGTCAAAATGAGTTGAAATTTGTGTCATGATGCTTACAAACATACACTCATTCATTTACAACCTCCAAAACATGGAAAAACACATATTTTGAGTAAAAGTCAATATTCTCGCCCATGGGCCAAAATGTTTTCGCCCATGGGCGAGATTTTTTAATATCGCTCTAAGTTAGTCGAATTAAGTCAATATGAGTTGAATTTTGTTTCATGATACTTATAAACATACACTCATTCATTTACAACTTCAAAACATGGAAAAACATATATTTTGAGTAAAAGTCAATATTCTCGCCCATGGGCCAAAATGTTTTCGCCCATGGGCGAGATTTTTTAATATCGCTCTAAATTAGTCGAATTAAGTCAAAATGAGTTGAAATTTGTTTCATGATGCTTACAAACATACACTCATTCATTTACAACCTCCAAAACATGAATTCTGATCGAAATTAAACATTCTCGCCCATGGGCCGGCCCATGGGCCACTGTTCGCCCATGGGCCTGCCCATGGGCGAGCGAGTTTAAATTTAAAGTTTTCGAAAGAATTTTTTTTCATTTTTTCATCCTTGGCATATATTCATAACAACTGCATGTTTAATTAGGTCAAATCCCTTGTCAGAAAGTGCCCACAGTGCGGAGAGTTTCTGGACTTTTGTGAGTCAGAATTAAATTGTGACGTGTTCTCTGACGTTCCACAGCACCCAGATACGGGACTTGGTGGAACAAACTGCAACGCACTCTTTGGGCTGCCTCGGTCTCACGTCTTCCCTGTGAAGAACTACGAGCAGGAGAGTGAACTGGACGACGATGTGGATCGACTCACTCTTCTCAGCCTCAGGCAGATGCTGAGGTTCACAGACGACTTTCTAGTCCAGCAGTTGCAGTAGAATATAGTTGACAGCACTACGTATCTGAATAATATATCATTTGGATAAAACCAGGTAATTCCTCATAGATTGAAATGGAGCCCCAGTTAGATGAGGCACTCAGAAATTAATACCATTGGCATTGGGATACTCGTGTTGAGGTGAATAAATGTAGACTTGCTTCAGATGATAACAGGCCCTGAACCTGAATAGAAATCTGGACGTGCTTCATTCCGGGCATTATTTCAGAAAGGACTGTAGTATGTAGTAGCTTGTAGCCAAGCTCAGAACATAACTTATGCTGGGATCCGTTTGTGGGTTAAAACGATATATATATACTGAAACACTATGAAAATACATGTTAGTAATATTTGGCAAAAATGGGCATAGATATCAAATAAAATATGTTCTTGGTATTTCTCTATGATAACACAACACTGTTGAATCTCAAGTGAATGTTTTTGTAGTTTGCCATTTATGGTTATGGAGTTGATAATGGATTATGCGTTGATATTGTGCGTTCGAATGTTTACGTTCCTTGTTCTGAGTCCATTATATCTTTAATACACTTTTACGCAAGAACATATACACTACGATCAAAGAGATGCCGTATTATTTACATATTGTCCCCTATATTTCTGTAAATGTATCATTTTGTTGGTGGAAAGTAAGCGCACCTTGAGAAAGAAATGTACAGAATTGTTTTGTTTTTTGAGTATTAAAATGTATCTGTGCATTTGACTCTCTGAATGAATTTTTGACAGAAGAATGAAAGTAAAGTAGTAAAGTAAAAGGTAAACTCTAAATGTAAAAGTAAATTTGACTCTGATGCACAAGGTGACATATACAGGCCACATCCCTCATCTAAGGAAGCAACCACACTAAACCCCGAGCAATCATAACACACTATGATTCCATGCCTGCAAAACACACCCACCCAAACACCCTCCACACACCAGTAGAAATACAGAAACGTGGTGAAGTAAATTTGTTTCAGCCAACGTTGTCATTGCATACCAAGTATCTCACACACACACACACACACACACACACACACACACACACACACACACACACACACACACACACACACACACACACACACACACACACACACACGCACACACACAGAGAGAGACACACACAGACACACACATCCTGATAGTTGACTAATGGCGAAATATATAGGTTCTCCTAAATTATATTTAATTCTGGAAACCCAAAGAGAAACTCTCCTCACTGTGGCCAGTTTCCGACAACAGAATTACGACAAAATCACAACAGTCTGTTATGATTGATATATGCAAAGGATGAAAAATGAAAAGCTGAAAAAATGTTTTCGAAAACTGAGCGAGTAGTTACGTTTGCTCAAAAGTCCTGAATGAAAGTATGTTTATAAGTATCATGATACAAATCGGCTAATTAAGAGCGTTATTAAAACATTTGGCCCATTGGCGAGAACATTTACAGTTTTTTAAATGTTTGCTTATGTTTTGTAATTCTGCAACATAAGACCACCACTCAACCCACCACACACGTCTCCTTCGCATCTTTACATGTGTGTATTACTGCTAGACCAGTGAACCGAGCGTATGGGTAACCCGTCCGTCCGCTAACCAGGACGTGTCCTCTATAAATAGAGACGACTGGGCTTTCCAGTGACGTAATATGTTCACATCACGAAACGCCAGTGTTAGTGCGGATCGATAGTGTAGCACAGCAAAGGTTTTCCTCACAAAACCGACTACTCACAAGGTAAGGGCTGTTTGAATCATGGTGAGTGAGTGAATTTAGTTTTACGCCATACTCAGCAATATTGCAGCTATATGGCGGCGATCTGTAAAATAATCGAGTCTGGACCAGACAATCCAGTGATCACATGGGATACGATGACATGTGTCAACCAAGTCAGCGAGCCTGACCACCTGATCCCGTTAGTCGCTTCTTACCAAAGCATGGGTTACTGAATATCAATTTTAATCCGGATGTTGCATTATAACCTAAATGAAAGCGGCTATATAGCAAGAACAAAGCTATTACAAGGTTGCCCTCTCGGTGAATATCTGGTTTGTACTTGGAGTGCATCAATCCACTGTCTATAAGTCTAATATATATCCAGTGCATTATCCAACCGGTTGTGCAACTCTCAGAGGAAATTGTATGATTCGATTGAATGTTGACTACAGAATGGCAAGTAAAGGCAATTCATTGTTTATAAATCATTATTCATGCCATTTCTGTGAAACAGAAAGTGCAGTATTTTGGAAAACGAACTATTAATAGAACGGACGTGTCTGTATAGACTGCACTTGCCGACACGCTAACGTAATTCAATGGTAAGGGACTAATTGACTTTGCACAATACTCTAAGGTAAAATTAATAGTTTAAATGATAATTTCTCACAAATGATAAGTAAACAGACTGGGGTCGTCTTCGAATAGGAATTACTATTCAGCCATGGGCTCAGCATTTACTACAGCCTTGGAGCAAGGCCGTTACTAGTTCATGAGTTTAATGTCCAGATTTAACATACGTGATTACTCACATGGTAACTAGACTGCGAAAAGATCGAATTGATATCTTTATATTCATGTGATGTCAGAAGCTGTCATCTTGCACATCGGACCTTTTCACGAGGTGTGTGGAGTATATAGGTAAAGGTAGCAGGTCCCTTTAATACTTTGTGTATTGTAGAAGTGCAGATCTGATCAGTTGAAATCATTAAGCAAAGGTATGGTAGCAATAAATGTTCAGAAAAAAAGCTGGATAAAACAAAATGGATGGATTACAAAAGGCCACTTAGCTGAGGAACTTCAAAACTTGACGTTTTCCTATTCGAAATAATACAAATAACACATCGACCGACCTCATCATGGAGAGGTAATACACGTTTACATTTTGCTGAATGAAACTTTTTGTTTGAGAGCTCATTCGATACTCAATTGTTATGGATTTCTTCCCTGCTGGAAGTAAAAAACCGGTATCTATAATAAATTTGTTTCGGCGTTTTGACATTACACAAACATGATTTATGTTTCACATGCATCTGAAAAACAGACACAATCGGCGTACAAACTCCGACAATGATTTCATCTCAGCTTGAGTCTCTCGTCTTCTGGAGCATAAGCGCTGGATGTAAAGCCGGGCAGATACTTTTAACAAACGGCGTCTATTCTCAACGAGGGACGTGGGCCACGTGAGCAGCAGATTGCTGTATAACTATAGTCCTGTAGTAGATCTGTGAATATGTTGGAACAAAAGCTCTTTACATATTTACAACAGATTTTCTGCTCCATCGATCACTTCAATATTCGGTTTGCGTCAAATCAGATGTATCTCTTTTCTGAGGATATTCGTGACTGGGTATACTTTTGCAAAGTCCGTTTAAGTCAGAAACGGACCGATGAGTGCAAATTTTATCATTGTACAAATTTTGCACAGAAATGATCATTGCATGAACATCATTTACTAATACTTAACAGCTTTCTTATGTTTCCGGCAAAAAATGTTGTGTAAGAAACTATCATCATTTAAAACAATAAAAGTTGTTTGTCTATGCGGCGGTAGGGTGAAACAGACAACAACTATCTCGTCGTGCAGGATACGTGCCTGATGAACAATGAGTTTGAATGCTAACGATGAAAAGGTTGATGATTAAAGTGTGCGTTTTTTTCCGATTCTTTCTGTAGCCGAGGCGAGCAGGTACATGCCATTCATAGAAATTCCGTTAAAACGAAAGCTTTGGGTAGCCAGCAAAGGGTACTGACAAATGTTCTGGAACACAAAACATTGTGAGTGTGATGCAAGAAGCAAAAGGCGGTTAGTAGTCAAATCTACACAAGAATTAAAACATTTGGACAACTTTCAAAGAACAACGTAAAACGGTCTATCAACAAGCTCTATTCTGAAAACACGGCCGTATAAGCTGCACGTTTTTAAAAAGCATTTGGCAGCAAGAACACAACCTCAGAGAGTATCAAAGTACACGCTCTGGCGACTCTTCCACTCGCGCAGGGTGTCATCATAAAAGAAAATTTCGAGGAGAATAAGTTGGTACTCTGTGAACGCCCTGATATCGTTCAGCGAGAAATAATTTTCTCAGGGTTATAAAGAAGCTGGCGAGGGAAGGGTTCGGGAGACAGTGTACTTCAGGGCGAGACCTGGGTCAATGCCTCGCTCACTGCCAGCGGTCAGTGGTCGTTACCCGATAATCGGTGATAAGGGGTTAGGCCGAAATCTGCCTCGCAGGAAAGGAGAGACTAATCATTCTCCCGTAACGGTTTGCTCCAGCAAGAACCTCCACGGGCTGCGACTTGAGGTATTCAGGGCAAAGTCCACAGATAGAACAATTTCTACCATTCAGGGTGAATGGTCTTGGTTTTTCCCTCGTTGAACTAGAATCATGTTGTTACCAATCCTTGAGAAGTCTTTTATCGTAATGGACAATGCCCACGCCACAGGACCCCGACAGTAAAGCCCGAACAGTCGTAAAGGTGATATGTGATATCATGGCTCTGCACCATTTCGATCCTTTGACCTTCAGGCAGCAGTACCTCGGCTACCAGGGATCAGCCGGGCGCAGGAGGTGAACCTTTCTGCAAAGTTGACGGTTACATAAAAAGTAGGTCGATATTCACCGACTTCCACCCTATGTGGCCGGCATTCAGATGATGAGTTATTGTCAAAGGAGATGCTGCCAGATCAGAACTTTGATTACGTGACGTGGGGTTTTGGGTTAAAGTCCACCGTCACGACTGATTTAGCAAAGCTGTTGTGGTATTGTGGTAGAACGGTTTACTGGTCTCGGGATGGCTTACAACAGCCAACTGTGGCACCACTTGTGTCACAGTCGTGATGACTCATGACGCTGCGGCGGACGAACCGACAGGTCTCCCGGAATAGATTTTGAGATGTCCCCGTCATGACTGGCTGTTCCGGTTTCTGCGGTTTCACCGCTGCGACAGATAACAACTTTTGAGTTTTCAATGATGATGATTTCACCCGAAGCGACGCTGGAGTCGGGAAATTTTTCCGAAGCTGTTGGGTGTGGTAAATGATCATTGTTTTCTTTATATTTGTGGTAGCCGGTGCAATGATAAAGGCACGTTCAGTTTCTGACTCAAACGGATAAGTAGTCGGGACGTTTAATCTGTCAAATACAGATGTTGCATGTTGACGCTGTGCTGCCATGAAACAGTGACTGTATTACCGGTCTTTTGTTGTAAGTGGAAGCGTCATCCAGTGTTATGTTATGTGTTTGCCATAGGTGTTTTGAAGTAACCGAAATAAATCTAATAAGCGTGCGTCGTTAGGAAGATTGGTGTACCGGGTATGGTGAATGAGGTTGTTAGTCGGAAATACTGCAGGATGTAATAGAATGAATAGTTCTTGTTGGTCAGAGAATACCGGAGTGTATGGAATAATTGGCTGGGTGTTGGGTTGAACATTGCGGTGTAGGTAGTCAGCATTCTTAAACTAGGTGTTAGTGAAGTAGTACGGGCGGCGTAATAAACAGATAGCGTTCTTGGCTAGGTATTGGATTAAGAGGTGGTACCGGAGCTTATGAGAATGAATAGCGTTCTTGACTAGGTGTTGATCCAGAAAGGTGAATTTGGAGTGTATAGAAATGAATGGCATTCTTGACTAGGTGTTAGTTAGAAGAGTGGTACCAGGTGTATGAAATGGAATGGCGTTCATGACTGGTGTATTGAGTTAGAAAGGTGGTACCCGGAGTG